AAGATTCTATCGACACTACTAGAAAAATATTAAAGCTTAAGAGGGTATTTAATATTTCATTTAAGAGGTAGATATTATCTATATTTGCTATAAACATTGCAGGTAATGCGAAAGTACCTATAACTATTTTTTATTCATATTTCAATCTTGTATTATAAATCAATAATTCTTAACCACATTACTTTCAAACATTTTAGGCGACATTATAGAACTATATGTTATGTATAAAGAATCTGGTATTTACAAATACTGTCTAATAGAGAAAGCACCGATTTCACTACATATGACTTTACCAAATACTATATATCCTCTTATCCATACTTTGATGATATTAAGAACAACCATCGCAAGCACAATTCATAAAATATTGCATAATACCGATTTTGGAGATAGTAAACATAGTTCTGGTGAAATGACAATAACTGTTTCGACTTCAAAAAATCCATAGAATAGAAATCTATTTTATACATGTAATTTTATATACTCTGTGCTAAGGTTTATAGTTGGAGTATAATAATAAAAAATATTTTCTAAACAAAAGTGATGACTCTATTTTGATGTCACGTGATAAGTGATTCGCAATAATATTTTTTACTATATCAATAAAGTATCCTCAATGGTAGATTTCATAACCTGCAGATTATTTTTCTTGGCAAAAAAACATAAACAAGTTTACGGTTGACTAAATGAAACCTTTGCAATAGAAAAAGGGAAATTGCCAGAAAAATCAAAAATGAATTAATGCTAAATTTGAACATATTTCAGCCTAAAAATCATATTTAGCATATAAAAGTAAAATTAATTTTCTCAGCAGTTTCCCCCCCTTTTTTTTGCAAAGGCCCAAATAACCTATTTTCATCAATTTTGATGGTCATGATATCATGTGAAATTCTTGATCAGAGCTGATCTGTCAGATATGTTACAAAACTGACGCATGAATTAAAACATTTTATTGTTATATCCTAATAGGTATATTTTTACACGCAAACTTTTTTTTACATAAAACTATATCTAATAAAATATTATGTTCTGACTATAAACATATTATTAATAGATTACCTGAAAGTCTTGTTAAGAGAGCGTGCGAGAGACTCTTATACCATTCTAAAGATCCTATTCCATTAGAATCTATTTCTGAAAAGTCCAAACGAATTGAATCTTATTTGAGACACACATTAGAGATTTATGAGAATTCATTAAATAGGAAACGCAAAAATATGACTCAGAAAAAATTACTATGTCCTCGAAATTAGCCAGAATGTGATGTATTTTCAGTATTACCATATGTATGTATTTTAGATAGTGAGGTTTAAACTGATAGTATTCCTTATAATCTCAAGGAAGAAAATAATCACTGAGTTATAAATAAACTTAAAGTCTTATCTCAACATCTGCTTGATTATAATAGAAAGACTTTTGGAAAAATGATATAAGACATAGATAATGATTATAGAGAAAGGGTTAGTGCAAATAAGATATTACATTACAAGATTGAGGATCTGAAGATACAGGTACAGGAGGTAGAAAAAAAGCTGGCATTTGTTAAATCAGATTCTGCTCACTAGCTTGGACATTTTTTTCAAAAACTTTATCCCATCTAGCTCGTATCCTGTGAGGATGGTTTGAAGGCACTGTTAAATCAAAGACAATAAAATTGCGATCAGTCAAATAGTTAATGACATCATCATATATACTACGTCAATTATAAGCATATAGGCAAAGAATACAAGCTAGTTCATCAGAAGTAGAGCAATTAAAGAGTATGATATAATTTAATTCTTTCCTTATTAGCTTCGGATAGTCAAAAAAGCTCTGTGTAATGTACATACTGCTAATATTTTTGTGACACCCTTCAGTAAAATAAGGAACAATTTCTCCTAAACTTTCTTTAAATCAGCGCATACATCTTCGAATATAACCACTATACCTCTTTCTGAAGAGAATGAATCCAACTTTGGAATTTTATCAGACATCATAGCCTGAAATATAATATCTTCATGATATAGTTTTAGACTACTCGCAATTATCTGATAATCAGATTTGAGATACAAGTATTTTGGCTCCTTAAGGTGGTGGCCAATAAGTACTAAATCATCATTTTTGATATATTATGTCCCTCCTTTTTTACCTTTAAACATTTGATAAAGCTTGTTTCCTAATAATAGATTCACAACTTCATTAGTTTTTCCTGAATTAGTCCATCCTGAAATCAGAAGGGTGAAAGGCCATTGGGGAGTTGAGTTTAATCTGTTGAATCTTTTTGCATCTTTTATCTCATCAATATGGAGAATAATTCTATCTACTGGATCAAGCTTTCTGACTTTATGTTTTTTATGATCTTTCATATTGCTTAATATCATACTTTAAAAATATATTATGAAATTTTCAGATGGGCTGTTATGAAGCCGGCTTGCTTAACTTGGAGAATTATTCAAGAATCCTTTCTCAATTAGCATATACTTAATGTAAAGAAGAAGATCACATGTATATAGCACTTCGATAAGACATATACCTTCTTTTTTATATATATCCCACTTCTTCTGATCGCGCATTCTCTGTTCATCCAAATCTATCTGGCCTCTCTTATGAAACATTTAATAACACGATAGTATTGAGGATCTTGGAATTCAAATGCTAGTTGTAGTTCCTCATTATCCATTAAGTTACATTCAATCTAAAAAATTCGGACTACATGATGGAAATTTCTTGCCTAGCAGATCTTCAAAAATATAATATACATTTCTTTCGCTAATATGATGGCATAGAGGGTACTATTCAAATTTTTTCACGATATATTTTAGTGGATACTCCCACTGATGTGTGCCATTCTTACAAGACCAAAGATATATATTATGACTATTTATTTGCCCAGACTTTCCTAGACATTATCCACCACGTTTTTTAGCGTATTTTAAAGCCTGAACTATTTCATTATTATTAGGAGAAGCATGGACTAAATTCACAGATAATATGCTTTGAAGTGGATACCCAACTTTTTCTGGATCAGATATTAACATCAATTTCTCTCTTACAAATCCTCGCTTTGGAGAATATATACTCTATCATTGAGATAATAAAGCACAGGTTCATTTTTAGATATTACTATTTTTCAGACTTTATGAAGACTTGGTGACCATATAGGATCAGTTATGTGTCTCTGGTTCTCCATGCCCCTTTCCATTCTACATTAGCAAGAAGATAGTGAATAGTATCACCTTTCTTTAAGGTTTCTTTATTCTCTCCGACAGGATGCTTGGATTTTATAGATAGTTTAGACTCGATCTTCTCTAATAAAATGGCCACTGAAGACGCTAATCCCCATTTTAAAGAACCTAGTTCTCTAATGAGATGTGTGGGATAGTTATTCAGGTAATCAATAACTTTTGGCAAATACCTAACCTATGCTCTTATTTGTCTTGAATTAGAAGATATAGACTCAACAGCGTACTAGATCTTATATAGAATTTTTGAGAGTGTCTGATTGAAACACTCTATAATTGCAGTTTCACGATGACTATATAGGCTAATTACTTGAATTATTACATTATGCTCTTGCATTAAACAGGAAGTTTCTCCCATTTATTCTCTTTCATTATCACATTGTAAAAGCTTTGGCCATATCAATGAATTATTTTGACTCTCATATATTCTCCTAAATGCCTTAGCAACTTCATGGGTACTCTTTGACCTAAGTGGAACTGAAGCTTTAAATCTTGAGATACAGTCTACTATATTAAGTACTGCTTTATAAGTCTTACTTCTGTAATGATCATGGGTCAGGAATAATATATCACATTGATGAACACAATTTGGTCATATTATTCGCCAATAGCTGAATCTGGGAACATGCTTAGAAAGGCACTTATAAATCTGGTATGGTTCTTGTTGATTCAACCACTCATTCACAGCTTGAACTCTGAATTGATACCCTCTTTTTTACACGCATTTCTTAGGGATTTAGGATTAGAAAAATATTCAGTAGGTTGATAATATATCTCTCATAGAATAAGATTCTGTTCTATACTACGAGCCTCATCAGAATCTATCACAATTTGTAGTTGGTTCATTCTCAAGGTAAGATTATTATGATAGTACTATAAATTAGGATAAAATACCCATGTTTAATCTAGCATATTCAAAGCTTTTAGATACAAACCAGAAGCTTCATAGTAAACTTCGAGATGAAATTTCTATTAATAAGAATAATGAGAAAAAAATTCACTTCCTCGAGAAGGAGCTTGAGCAGTGTTATCAAACTACTTCATCTTAGGATAAAATTATTATAGCTCATGAAGAGGAGATAGAATCTCTTAAGACAGACATCAAATCTCTTAAATATCATCTTCAAAAAATATTGCAGGATTTAAGATATAAAGGTAATGCTAGTACTTCTCAAGATATTCATATTCTAAGGCTGGAAGATAAGGTTGATCAGCTTAACGAAAGAATTTAGGAGCTTACAGATAAAAAGTTATTATTAAAAGGATCAAATATGAATTGTACCATTCAAGACATTTTAGATAGATCATTTGAGACTTCCAGTTCTTTAGAAAGAATAAGAACACATTTAGATAATACTGGAGTTGTTCTTCCAAATAATATAACTAAGGAATTTTATAGAATTGGCATATATTTTACTAATATTATTACAAGTCTTAGTTTGATTCGATGGTATTGGCAAGATCGGGAATACTTTGTTGATCAATTAACTCAGCGAGCCAGAAATGCTGAGCATGATTTGCAAAATTTTAGGGTACAGTCAAAGCATGATAATCAAATATTTAGACAGGCTTTAAATGATGAAGGGAAGTGCGTAGAAAGAATTGGGAATTAGCTCAGGATTTGCAGGCATATGCTCAAAGTATGGTTACTAAAAAAACAAAATCAAATTAATGCACTATCACAAGAAAAAATTATCCTCTAGTTAATAGTTTGATGTAGAGATGGTCAAATTACTGAGCATAGGAGAACTGTGCATATATAGACTATAAGGTATAATCATGATGCTGAAAGGTGGAGAAGACAACATGATTGTATTATTTGATAGGCTCAGAATTGGCATAGACATTATAGAAATAAGAGCAGGGAACACTAGAAACAGCGTGGTATTACTCAAAGATTAAAAGGAGCTATAATAAATAACAATGCTAGAAAGCAAGATTGTATTAATACATTAGTACAAGAGAAGTTTGCTCTTTAGCTAATAAATAGAAATTCCCAGCAAATTATTTTTAATCTACAGAATAATCCATTTAATATATCAGGAATAGTAGGATATGGACTTCCAATATTTTATGGTCATCCTGGAGAGGATCCAGATGATTGGCTTAGGGATATGCAAAGATATATAATAGCTAGTCAAATAAATGTTGCGCCTGATGCAAGTCAGGCCACCGGAAGAGAAGAGGCATTTGGATTAGTAGTATCATGCCTTGCAGGTGATGTATTAAATTGGTATTTAACTTATGTCAGAGGTAAAAATTGGAGATGTAATAATCTCTTTGATAATTTGGGAGTAGCTACTTTAACTGCTGTTCGAGCAATAGGTGCCAGAAATAGTGGTAATCAAATTGGTAGTTTGAATACTGCTGGAGAATTTCAAGGTAAGGCAGCCACCGAAATTAGTAAAATTGGAGCAAAAATTACAACAGATGCTGATATTATTCCATATGGGATATGGGATGAAAATTAGTCTATAGCTGGTGGTGAACCTGACCAGTAACGCCTAATGCTAGAGGTATTCTTCCTGCCATTACTATTATTCTGGATATTAAGCTTGGTCAACTTCTATACCTATTTAGAACTGGTTATACAACAGTTGAACACTTAAAATATATAGCAGTTTTTGGTCAACTCATACAAGACGATATATCTGTTGAGCAATTCTCTACTAGAATTAAAAAGATTAGTAAAGTAGCTAAAATGATTCTTAAATAGTAAAGAGAGCGATTTATTCATGGTCTGTCCCCGATGAATCAATATAATCTTCGAATAATGGCCAAATTTAATGATACATAGGATAATATTATACAAGCTTTAGCTGAAGCAGAAAATTATACATTATCTTAAAAGAGCGCACTATCTTCTTTTCCAATTTTTCTGGCAGCCAATCTATATACAGATACTAACAGATCAGGAATGACTAAAAATGAAATCGAGAGCTTGGTAAAAAATACAATGGCATCCTCAGAATCTCAACAGCCTCAACAAGTGACTTCATCGCAATTCCAACCACAACCTGCGGAAACGCATAAAAATTTACGACATGAGAATATAGGAAGATTTTTATCATGAATTACAGGAGAGACCCCAGAATTTGTTCCTATTTCTAATCCTACTTTACCACCAAAGCCAAATAAAAAAATTGAGATTGATTCTGATGATGAACTTTCTGAGCTCACAAAAAGGCAGTTAAAGTTATATGTGGCTAAAGCCGTTAAAAAGGCTGTAAAAACATAACATAAATGTTCTATTTGTGGTAAGATTAGGTATAATTCTCACAAATGCTCTTAGAAGAAGAAAAAGAAAAACAAGAAGACTAAAAAGGTAAGGTTAATCTCACTACTTTAGATCTGGCCTCAGATTCGAATTCAGATTCTTCTTCTGATACCTCATGTAGTAATAGTTTTGATTCTGATTCAAGTTTTTCCGATTCTTCTGATTCTGAAGGTAAGCTTAATGTTAATATAGCTAAGATAAAAAAAAAGTAAAGCAAAAGTCAAGCTCTAAGAAATCTAGTTCTAAGAAATCACTATCTAAAAAACGCTAAGAAAAAAAACAAGTCCAATAGTATAACACCTTTGGCTAAATCTGCTGAACAGGTTGGTAAAGTAGATTCCAAAAAGCCAATAAATAGATCTGGTAAGGCTAAACAAAGCACTTTGGAAGAAACTATTCGTAAAATTCTCTAAAGTGAACTTAAATTAATTTTTCCTGCATTGATTTCTCAAGACTCTGTTTCTGATTCCAATAAATCTAATAAACTAAAACAAGTGCCTTCTATTCAGGATAAGACAAAGTTTCAGAGTAATAAGGCTTCAATTATCAAAGACATTTTATTGGACCTAGAGGAGGAAGAATATTTGAAGGATTTAATAGAAATTGACATTGTTCAGAAAAAGGATTCTGCTACAAATATTGCAATGGTAAAATGTAAAATTAAACGCTTGGTAATCCCAGGTGCTGTAGTTGATCCTGATGCTAATTTTGCAATTATGACTGATGATATAGTCAAACGACTAAAACTAAAAATTGATACAAGTGAAAAATATGACCTTAAAGGTATTGCTACAGTCCCTATGGAGTCATTTGGTATAACTAGGAATGCGTTTGTATATTTTGCTTCTGGATATATTATATATTCTGATTTCACAGTAATCAAAAATTATCTAGGAAAGCTAATGCTAATTTTGCCAAACACACTTCTCGATAAATATAATTATGATTTGCTTACATCCAAGTAAGAGTTGAGACTAGAGTGTAATGGTAAGAAATTTTTTATTCCAATCAATATGCATAAGATCAAGAATAAGCTTGAGGTGAATTGCGTGAACATTACTCCTAAATGCGATGTTTTCTCAACTCCAGATAGAATTTCGCAAGACTTGCAGGACTTAAATAAAAACAATAATGTATTAAAAAAAAATGAGTTATAAAAGTATAGCAACTCATATGAAAGAGCTTGAGAAGAAGTTTTTCAATGCTTTTAAGTTTAATACGGAAATCAATGAGTTTGCAAAAGTCTTCTTAGGGAATAGAATAGGTGAGTTATTTTCAGGATAACATTTCTTTTTTATATCTAAAATATTTGTACTTCTCTTAATCATCTTCTTATACAATTAGTATTCTGCAAAAATCTGATTCAATCTGAATCTAATCTGGATCCAACGGATCAGATTGAATTGGATTTATTGAATTCAAATTAGATTCAGATCCAGATTTTGATTTGATTCGATCTGTTAGATCTGGATCAGATTCAGATTTGGATTTGGATTCAGATCTGATTTATTAGATTTGAAATAAAAAATGCCACCCTGAAGTCAGACGCGGCATTTATAATCAAATAAATATATCTTTTAATAATAAAATGCCACCTGAAAGTCAGACGTAGCATTTATTATTAAAAAAATATAATTTTTAATAATAAAATACTGCCCAAAAATCAGACATAGCATTTATTATTAAAAAATTAATAAAAATTAATTTTTAATAAACCTAATGCCGTCCCAAAAGTCAGAGGTGATATTTATTAATAAAAAATTAATAAAATTAATTTTTAATAATAAAATGCCGTCCTGAAAATCAGAGGCAGCATTTATTATTAAAAAAATTAATGTTTAATAATAAAATGCTACCCCGAAAGTCAGATGCAGCATTTATTTTTTTATAACAAAATGCTGTCTCAAAAGTCAGAGGCGGCATTTATTATTAAAAATTAATTTTATTAATTTTTAATAACAAAATGCCGTCCCGAAAGTCAGAGGCAGCATTTATTAATAAAAAAATTAATTTTTATAATAAAATGCTGTCCTGAAAGTTAGATGTGGCATTTATTACTAAAAAAAAATTTTTTAATAATAAAATGCCATCCCGAAAGTCAGACGCAGCATTTATTAATAAAAAAATCAATTTTTATTAATTTTTTATATAAAAATGCTACTATGAAAGTCAGATGTGGCATTTATTAATAAAAATCAATTTTTATTAATTTTTTATATAAATATGTCATCCTGAAAGTCAGACGCGGCATTTATTAATAAAAAAATCAATTTTTATTAATTTTTTATATAAAATGCCACCCCAAAAGTCAGATGCAACATTAATTAATAAAAAAATCAATTTTTATTAATTTTTTATATAAAAATGCCGCCCCAAAAGTCAGACACAGCATTTATTATTAAGTAAATTAATATTTAATAATAAAATATCGCCCTGAAAGTCAGATGCGGCATTTATTAATAAAAAATCAATTTTTATTAATTTTTTATATAAAAATGCTACCCTGAAAGTCAGACGTGGCATTTATTATTAAATAAATTAAATTTTAATAATAAAATGCCGCCCCAAAAGTCAGACGCAGTAGTTATTAATAAAAAAATCAATTTTTTTAATTTTTTATATAAAATGCCACACCGAAAGTCAGACGTGGCATTTATTAATAAAAAAAATCAATTTTTATTAATTTTTTATATAAAATGCTGTACCAAAAGTCAGACGCACCGAAAGTCAGACGCAGCATTTATTAATAAAAAAATAATTTTTATTAATTTTTTATATAAAAATACTGTCCTGAAAGTCAGACGCAGCATTTATTATTAAATAAATTAATGTTTAATAATAAAATTCTGCCCCAAAAGTCGGATGCAGCATTTATTAATAAAAAATCAATTTTTATTAATTTTTTATATTAAAATGCTATCCTAAAAGTCGGACGCGTCATTTATTATTAAAAAATTAAATTTTAATAATAAAATGCCATCCCAAAAGTCAGACATGGCATTTATTAATAAAAAATCAATTTTTATTAATTTTTTATATAAAAATACCGCCCCAAAAGTTAGACGCAGCATTTATTATTAAACAAATTAATGTTTAATAATAAAATTCTACCCCAAAAGTCAGATGCAGCATTTATTAATAAAAAAATCAATTATTATTGATTTTTATATAAAATGCCACCCCGAAAGTCAGATACAGCATTTATTATTAAATAAATTAATTTTTAATAATAAAATACCATCCTGAAAGTCAGATTCGACATTTATTATTAAATAAATTAATTTTTAATAATAAAATGCTGCCCTGAAAGTCAGACGTGGTATTTATTATTAAAAAATTAATTTTTAATAATAAAATGCCGATCTGAACATCAAAGGTGGATTTTTGTTAAAAAAACAAAATTGTTGTTTTTTATAATATTAAAACGCCTTTCTGAACGTCGGAGACGGATTTTTGTTAAAAAAGCAACAAAATTGTTGTTTTTAATATTAAAACGCTATTCCGAATGTCAGAGGCAGGATTTTGTTAAAAAATAATAAAATTGTTATTTTTTAATATTAAAATGCTATTCTGAACATCAAAGGCAGATTATTGTTAAAAAAAACATCAAAATTGTTGTTTTTTTAACATTAAAACGCCATTCTGAATGACAGAGGCAGATTTTTGTTAAAAAAATTTTTGATCTATCAGATACGAATACATATTCAGATTCAGATCGAATCAGATTTTACCCAAATCTGATCTGATCTGATCTGTGAGAAATACTACATACAATACATCCAAATTTTCACTATTTGTATCCTTTTCTGAAGCCTGGATTGGCAGAGTCTGAATACTAGATAGTTCAGAAATCTGAACAGACTTCGATTTCTTTTTTCCAGACTTTTTTACCTTACCGCCTAAAATAACACTACCTTCTGAAGCCAACTCAGTAGATTTACTAGGCTCTATCTTACCATCATGTATTTGTTTTTCCAATTCTATAAATAGAGAAACATCTTGGTCTTGGATCTCTGACTCAGTCCACCTGTTCACAACATTTATATTAGAAAGCGAAGCTGTTGGCATATGAATTGGTTGATTTCACATAACCCTATTTTTTTCTTCACTTCTCCAAATCTGATAAATACGTTTTTGTGATATATGATATTTATTTGTTAAATCTTTTAAAACTTTATCTCTAGGCTTTTTTTAGCACATTGCATAATAAAATTGTAATCAGTTGGTGAAAAAGAAGAGGCATCACATCTTATATATTGCCTAAGCATAGTAGCAATATTTTTTTATATCTAATCTAATATTCTGAAATAATTTATTAAATAAGATATACAGGAAAAATGTATCATTCTGAATATATAGGATATACAGGATATATAGAAAGAATATATTTTAGATAAACAGGATATATAAGATATACAGGATATACAAGATGTATAGGAAAAATATATTTTGGATAAATGGGATATACAGGATATACAGGATATATAGGAAGAATATATCATTCTAAATATACAGGATGAATGTATTATCTCAGAATTTTATTCGTATATTTTTTTCATGTTATGTAAAAATGTCAATATTATGTCCAATGTGTATACATTGAAAGATATAAAAAATAGAGAACATCAGTTGAATAGTAAATATGAGCAAGAGCTCAAAAAAAAATTAAGATCTGCTATTGATTTTAACTCTGAAATTTTGACTTCAATGAAAAGTTGTAGGCTGAAAATTCGGAGTATTCAGGGTGAGAAAAGGAGTTTAAGCAAATCTATGTTAATATCAGAAATAAAGTTAGCCAGCTAAATGGTACAAGTACTAAGCTTAGATCCCAATTTACTTCTGAACAGAAGTCTCATTCTGAGAGTCAACATAAGCATGAAGCAGAACGAGCTAATTATTCTGCCGAAATCAAATCTCTCAAATCAAATATTAAAACACTAAAGAGAAAGGTAACTTAGCCCAGAAAGCTTCGTCCGCTAATAAGGTCAAAATACTTTTTCTTGAAGCTAAGGTAGTTGAATTGGAATTAAGCTCATCTGATCCTAAAGAGATTGATTCTCTCAGGCTTGAATTGGAACGAGTGAAGAAGGACCTTAATTCGAAAGAATATACAATAGAATATATGGAAAAGGAGAAAGAGTCATCAGATAGCATATACAAATAAGAAATAGATGCTTTGAGAAAGGCGCGATTAAATTTAATGGAGGAAAATTCTCATCTCCAGGAGATAATCTCAAAAAAAGAGCTGAGAGGCACTTCGCATGATAAGATAGCAGATCTCTCTAACCCTTACCTTCCTCTATGAATGATTCATCACAAAAACTACCAGGCTGGGTCAGTGATAATTTATAACCTCTCATCTATGAGCTTGGTCTTGAAGATAAAGTTATGAAATTTGACAAAGAGTATGCTAAAGAAGATATTTTAGAGGCTTTACAAGAGCTATTACCCTGAAATGAAGTGGTTTCAAGAAGCCAGACGGATATCCTACCTAATCAATCTGTCCATAGTCAACTAGCACATTCTGAAAAGTCTATTTTAAGTGAGGGGTTGTGAAGCAATTAGGTGACGCAGAAGTAATGCCATCAGCTCAAGTAATGCTTCTAGTATCAGCTATCCTATCATTGTGAACTCCTTAATATCACCATTGATAACATACAGTATACATACTTATTTTACTACTTCTTGCAATTATATGGATCGTTGGGAAAAAAAATATGGAATTCATAGAAAAAAAGTAATACTAAGTATTCTCCTAACTGGAACTATTTTTTATCATTTCCGGACATTTTCAAAGTCAGGCTATATGATCGGAGACCAGAAGTTTGGAGTGATCATCCTAGGCTGGAAGTTCAAAGATAGAAATTGAAGTTAGCTAGTATTATTGTATGAAAAAAATATGTAAATGATATTATGCGAAGTGTCTTACGACTAAATTTTTTAGCTGAAATTGCCACATCCCGCTAAGAGTACTTAAAAAGTTTATTGTAAAATTTTATATTTTTTTTAAGCTGTTTTATAGCATCATCCTAGGAGTGTTTGTTATTCTTCTTTTCTCTCATATCTGGATCCTTGATCTGCATTATTTTATATGATGGGGTGGTCGATAGCTATCTTCCTCATTGATAAAGCGTGCGCACATTGCAACCATAATGCCTAAATAATAATTGATATAATTTACTTTTTTGCTATATTTGATAGATACTTCATATAATCCCCAACTCTATACGGTATTAACCTGCCTTTTTCATTATGAAGATGGGAAGCCTTCATAATGACATAGCTAAACGGTTTACCAGGATCAGGAATCCTCTCATTTCTCTCTCTTATACATTTCATAAAGTGATTGTTGCAAAGATTTTCTTTCTTAGGCCTCCATGTTCCCATCACAATAAATTTATTGAAATCCCATTTCTTGTTTCCTGCTTCTCTAAGAGTATCTTTAACAATTTTGTGAATTGGACGTGTATTATTTATATTCATAGCCTCTCTCATTATCTTCTCTCTGATGAATTTGAGAAGCTGGGATTTACCTTGCTTTATGGTATCTATTCCTTTCATGAAAAGATTTTTCAGTTTAAAGTTTACTACATCTTTATGCCCAATTCCAAAGTACTTCTTTTACCAGTAAAGCAGATGGGAAATAATATCTCTTCGTATACTATCTTTAGATAAGATGTGCCATTTTTTATCCTAAGATAAGCATTTACTTGATTGTACAACTTTTTCATTACATTTATAGTAATTTTGACCATTTCGGTCCAGTATGCTTCTTTGGAAAGTTCTTTTCTGGAGAAGGCCTCATCACATTTCTTGTAATACCTATTTGGGCAGGTGAGATACAAAGAATTAGTATTCCCATATTTTATCCTAAACCCTTTCTTTATTACGAATTCAGCAATTAGATTAAGGTTATATTTTCCTGCCATAATAGTTTCACAGGCTAATTCACGAAGAAAGATTGGAGATAGTGAGTTTCCTGCTTCCCTATAAAAAGTGTTCATATATACCTTCAAAGCTTTTTACTTTGAATCCCAATAATTATAATCGAAGTATATGAATAAATATTCTAAATTTAACCTTTCTGGTATCCTTTTACCACTTTCTTTAGCTGAACTTATTATCTTCCCAAGATGTTGCTTTTTCTTTTCTAGTGGGGCTAGACGTGCTTTAAAATCCAACTTCTTGTTAAATAAATCCTCCAATACGTCTGGATATAGGCCTTTCTTTTCTGATTGGTTATCATAGTAGACACCAAGCTTGAACGATATGATTATTAAATAAAAACTCAATCTTATGCAAGTTATTTCCATTATTTTACACAATATCGACATCCTTTGGATCAAATATAAATTTTTCTAGGAAGAGATTATATGTCATAATAATACTGGAATATAATGAAGTAAAATCCAATCCCATTATAGGTCTTCTATTTTCAATTCCTTTTAAGTGGAAATACGTATGCATCAGGATATTTCCCTTTTTCTATGTTTTCAGGAATCTTTATACTTATTACCATATCTTATTTGACAGCATATACTCTGAGAAAGTTCTGTACCTTCATTTCATTTGCATGATAGTGTGTGTCGAAAAGAGAAACATAAGCTATAGAGACAACTTATCTATAATTATTTATTATACTTTGGTTTACCAAAAGCTCTTGATAGCACAGTGTATCTATAATACAGTAATGTGTTACTTCACGCATATTTCTCGCAGTTGATAAAGAGAGGCTTTTTTTCACCTCTGAATACATTACCCTCGAAAAAGTATCCGGTCAACCGAAAAAATAATCAAAAAAATTATTTATTTAAAATTTTAAATATAAATTTTTAAAATAAAATAAATTAATTAATATTTTGTTGGCCATCCTTGGTTGTTAATGCATGTTTCGATTCTATGTGGCATGCTTTCTATTAATTTAATAAAAGTTTCGGAGGGAATTTTTCTCCATTCTTCTTGTAAAATTTCCTCAAGTTCCCGAAGATTTTTCGGATGTATAGTACGTTTGCAACGCCTTCTTTTAAGTTCATTCCACAAATGCTCAATTGGGTTAAGGTCTGGAGATTGAGAAGGCCAATCAGAAAGTACCTTAACCCGTTTTTGAATAATCCAATTTTTAACATCCTTTGCCGTATGAACTGGAGCATTATCATCTTGAAATGCATATGGTTGTTTATAATGTTTAGATCGAATAAATGGCAATAAATTGTTTTCTAAAATATTAATATAATCTAATCGGTTCATTTTTCCCTCAACTTTTACCAATGGTCCTAACCCTTTTCCTGAAAAACATCCCCATACCATAATGCCACCACCACCATGTTTGACTGTAGGAGTCAAATTTTCAATATTATATCGGGTACCATTTTCTCGCCAAACACGATCAGGTCCGTCATTTTCAAAAAGGGTAAAA